CTGGGAGGCCGGGGCTGGGAGGCCGGGGCGCCCACCGGCCGGGCTCCCCGCCCGGTTCGTTCATGCCTGCCTACCTCCCGCGAAAGTGCTTCAGATGCAACAGAGCAGAAACAATGTAAAACGTAGTTTAATTTTCAGTTATCTTATCGCCAGTACTCTAGGGCAGTGAGTTGTTAATGTTGGAAGGCAATTTGTTTGACTAAACACTTGAACTGATACTTGAATTCTTGTCTGTTTAGCGTGCATTGAAACATGAAACTGTTTTCACGTACACATGTGATATGTGAAAATGCCTGCCTCCTATTTTCTGACAAACCATTTTGTTTATAAATTACCATTCATTTTTTGGTGTGTTTAAAAAAAGTCTGAATTGTTCCTTGACAGAAGTAATTTACAAAGATTAATTTCTATCAGTGTAGTTACTAATCGGCTTATAGTAAAATGATTTTAAAATGTGTATATTTTATGTTAAACTTGTTTCTTACCACTAATGTTTATCTCTCCGTGCAGGTACATGGGTCCCCTGTTGGAGGAGGAAGCCCTGAATAAAGCAGCAGAAAATGGATTATCTTCACCAGAATTTTTTGAGCTTTGCGTTTGGTTAGGTTCCCAAATAAAGTCACTTTGTAATATGGAAGAAAGCATCACTTCAACAGATGGTATCTGAATGTTAATTTATTAAAGTAATTTAATATTTGTTCAGTGGATTTAGACCCATATTGTTCAGCTAATAGTGAAATTACAGTGTTGAGGTTTAGAAGATAGCTGAAAGGTAGCAAACAGAGGCTGATATTTGCCTGTGTGTGGCTCTTAGATTAAGGTCCTTTCTTGTGAAGATTCTTTGAAAAGAAAACAAAAGGTGCTTTGGGGTTTTTTTAGATCTACATAAATATAAAAAGTACATTCATACATACTATGAGTGGTTGTTATATGTAATCATATTTTGATGGCTTAAATTCCAGTGCCTGGTATTTTCAGCTAGTTCGTCCAATGCAGTGTTCCATTCAGCACTGTGTGTAGATATGCAAGTTGCTCGTTAGCGCTACCTGATTCTTTCTGTTGAGTGCTGGAACTTGGATGAAATTTTGTAGTATTGCTTATGTTTTCACAAAAAAGTGGTAAAACTAAAAACAACCATTGAAAATAATGGGTTCATGACTCCTGTAACTTGTTCATCAGAAAATTAATTACATTGATACACTGTTTTGCGACATAAGCTGTTCACTTCCTAGTGATGTTCATTTGCATTCATGTCTTCAGAGACTGCTGTAGCATCACCTTCTTGTTCAAAGCACGAGTACAACATTGCTGTAGCTATTAAAGGCTTGTCTGTTTGTATATAGGACTTCTTTAAGAAGAAAAAAAATGCTACTAGGGTGGTAGATGGTAAATCTTTGTCTGGGCTATTGAAACCTGCAATCTAAATGTCCAAGTTAAAAAAATTCAATTACAGTTTGATGTTTCTGTAAAAAGCCATTAGCTTTGCATTTATTTATTCCCATAGGTGATAAAGATATAGAGAGCTTCCAGCTTGAGATTAGTGGCTTTCTGAGAGAAATGGCTTGTCCGTATTCATCACTTGTATCTGGAGACATCAAGGACAGATTAAGAGAGAAAGAAGATTGTCTTAAACTCCTCTGTAAGTTATAACCATTTTTCTCATTTATAATACAGTATTTTACATGCATGGTCTATCGTTATTGTACAATTTACATTAAATAGTTCTTTATGTGTATTTAAGTGTATGTGTACAATCATTACAACCTAGCTGAGCATGCATCAGCTCACTTGTGCAGAAGTGGAAAATAGAAAACTAGTAGAAACTAAAATTTCTTTGTGAAGTATGGCTCAACCTACTGAGGCCTCCTGATCCCTTTCTTGATCCAGTTCCAGCTCAGCTGAAATTGAGACCTTGCTTCCTGTTTTTCTGAGAGGTTTCTGGGCAGCTTAAAAGAAAATGCTACGTGAGTTGAAGGTGCCGAAAGCAGGATTGAGAGAAGCAAAGTCTAGGTTTAAGCTGGACTTGGACAAAGGTGTAGCAGCAGGAACCAGTGTGATAATATGAAACTACCCAAGGAACTAGGGGTCTGGTGGCAGAAGTGGGTTAAGCAGTTAAATATGATGTGTAGACTGAAGATAGAAAGTCCGGTGAGAGTTAGTTCAGATAAAGAATGGCCGACTGATACTGACCTGTCCAGAAGAGAACTGAGGAGTCTCCCTTTTAGCATGGTCTCATTATAAATGTATGTATTGTATTTGTATATGAGAATGTGGATGCAGAAATATTCAAGTGTCTCTAAATCCGCCATTATGATGCTTTTCTGTCTAGTGTTTCTAAGTACAGAACTTCAGGCTTTAAAGATATTGCACAGCAGGGAAATTAAAGGCTCTCATTTGGAAAAGCACAATGAAATTCATCAGGAAGTGCAAGCTATTTGCGATGCACTGGGCCTGCCAAACTCCTCGTCTTCTGATATTCCTCCCTTGTTAACCAATGTGGAACAAAAGGTATGGGCTTTTATGTGTTCTCTCTATTGTTAAACTGTAAGCATTATCTCTGTAAGCATTCGTCTTAGAGTTAAGGGCCCAACAGTCTAATCCTTAAATGCCCTATCTGACAAGTGCAAAGGAATTTTTATTCTGAAAGCCAGCTTACTGTTTAAGTTAAACTGTTTTAGTTATGAGGTGAAGTAGTTCAGCATTTCCCTGAGGATGCGATGTACCTGGTCGGGCATACTTTGCCATGCAAATTTAAGGTATGAGTTGAAGTAACATAGTTTTCCTGTTACCCATTCAAATGTGCTGCAGCAGGCAGAAGACTTTGGGTAATAACTGATTGCGCATTTGTGTACCTGTAGTCATTTCTAGGATGTATGTAAATTCAATATCCAAAACTTAAATTTTTGCTTTTCAGTTTATGAATTTCTTAATTGTAAGTATTGATTTGTTAGTGCCATTTCCTTAGTTGCAGAAGAGGATGAAAACGCCTGAATTACCAATAGCCAGTGAATAAGCCAACGTAAACCTTATTCAACAGGATACTTCTTTCAGTTGTGTCCCACCAGTTTCTAAGTCGTTTCACTGATGTGATCCTTAATCTGACTTCTTCACTGCAGAATGTAAATAGGCTCTTGGGGTGGAATTTATCTTCTCTGTCAGGCAGCTAAAAGTTTTGCTCTTTATTTCTTCCTAGTATTTGGGGAGAGAGTGGGTGACCGATCCCCTATAAGAATTATGGGAGATAGATGGAATGAATCTCCCTCTGCTGCTGAGTCTTTGAGTTTAATAATTTTACATAATTATGCTTCTTTTTTTTTCTTCCTCTTCTCATCGGCCAGTGGGCAGTTGAACATTCAGAGGTTTTGGGAAGAGGGCCTGTTACTTGCATGGTTTTCTTACATCTGTACGTCTTTAATGTGACAAGATGAAACCTTTAGTAGATTTATTTAGAAAAAGCAGCATCCAGGTGATGGTGAAAATGCCTGTTCCTGCACTATTAGCTGTGCTTGATCTATTTAGTTCTAATGAAATCTTTATAACCAGTCTTTCCATTAAATATTTTTGAAAGGATGAAGAAACAATTCTAGCACTGTTTTCTGAGGATTAAAATGTCAGAGTTCCAGCTAATAACTAATTGACTGAAACTTGCCTAGTACTGTTGATCTCCCTCTGTGGGTGTTAGCTGTGCTTAAATTCATGTGGGTTTGTAGGCTGCAGACATGGGCAGTGGCCTTCCTTGCTCATTTCCTTGCTTTACTTGGGTACAGATTTAGTGTCATCCCATATTAAAGGGGTAGAGCTCTAGTTCTGCAATTGCAGGACAGCAAGACCACACCGGGTGGGCCAGTTCCTTCATGCCCACATAAAGAGCCTAGAAAATTTTCTTTGAATTATTAGATTTCTGGTATTTGCAAAAAGATAGGTTTTCAGGTCTCTCAATTCCACAGCAGTTATACCACTTGTACTCACTTCAGAGTGTAGAAAGGTAGCAAAACTAGTTCGTTCCTCTTCTGTGACTCCAAATTAATAGTGTAATTTGTTCTCTGCATGTTTCATCCCTTACAAACAAAGGATTTTTTTCCTACCTCTCAGGAAATTTTGTAGAATTTCTACTATATGTTTCTTTGTCCTTCATCCCTTACTTTAATATAGGACAGGTTCAGAGTTATTCTGATACAGTACAGAATTAGATACCTACATTTGTAGATGTAGCTGTGTTAGAACGGTGATACCACCAATGGGAATTAATTGGCTTTGTAAACATATTTTCAGAGTGCCATTTGTTACTTTTTTTTAGATTCTCGCAAAAATCCACTTGAAATGATCAATTTTTTTTTCCAAATACTTTGTTGCTCCTGATTTAATTAGGTTCTGTGTAAAATTGCACTGGTGATTTTTAGTATTATACTCTATCATTTGTAATAGGAACTTACATACTAATCTAGCATTTTTATGGAATTTGCAAATCTATCTGCAGCATTTCAACATGTCTACTCTTCATCTCTGTCTAGCATCTTCAGCATTGTCAGTAGCTGTGGGAATAGTTCTGAGAACAGTTTGGCTGTGCAGCAGCAATCTACTAAAGGGACAGATCACACATTGTATTTTGGTATGGAACACTAGAACATTGATTGTTCTTAATAACTTGTCAGTTTATTTAAAAGACTAGTATAAAGTCAGGATTGCTTTCTTCATTCAAACTATGAGTTTTATAGTAGCTCAAACTTTGAATATGCAATGATAGGAAGTACCTTTTAAATTTGCATCTCCTGTAATGAACTGGGGTAGTGGTTATCAACATACACAAGAAAATGTGAGAGATGAATTGACAGTATTACAGCCTCCTACCACTGAATATATTTTATTTTATTCTATAGCACTGAAAACCTAATAGTAATTTTTTAGTTGTTTTTTTAAGATGCTGTTCCCTTGTAAAGTATATTTACAAAGGGTAACTCTGGGAGGCATTCTGAAATTTAGTACCAAAACCCCCATAAATTCTAAATGAACGTTGATCAAAGATTCAGAAAAGTGTATGCCGGTGTTGTGCTTTGTAACTCATGCTCACATCTGGCTTTTTTCCAGTCAAGATAGTGTGAATTTCACACCTAATTACAAAGTGACGTTCTAATACTGTTTATTTGAAAGACTTTTAAATTTTTTTTGCCCACATTATTTGTTTTCTAATATGTGAAAAGTAGTTCCCTAATAGTAGAGAATGAAAAGAAACTATAAAGGGTTACTGAAGGAATTATATCAAAACTAAGCTAAAATAACATTTAAGTGAAATATGAGAATATCTTTAAAAATATTTGGGAATACTTCCTAGACTTTATTCGTATTTAAGTTAGTGTGTTGCTTTTAACTGTTAGTGTTTAATAATTTTACAGACGTAATGGTGCCTGTACATTAAGTATCAATGTAGTTGCAGGGAACAAGGCGAAAGAGTTGTCCTGTTCACCAGACGTAAAGGTCAAACAAAAATGTCTTTGAAGTTAGATAAATATTGAAATTAAAATGATCTGGAGGTAAATGGAAGAGAGGCAGAGGATGGGTTAAAAATATTTTGTGCTTAAGATTTTAGGTGATCTTTCTGCAATTGTGCAGTACACCTTGTGACTAATTAAGAAAATGTTCATTCCTTAAAGCGTTGATAGTTTAACCTAAATTAATAAAATTACTCCTCTCTCCAGGTCAGGTTTTTTCAAAATCTTAGAAACCCTGGAGGTGCATGCATATATGGTGGTGTTAAACATAAAAAATATTGCTCTATTTTGACAGAGGGTAAAGATAATAAATATATGGAACATGGAAATGAAATGTGAACTAAAAAGATTTTAAAAGGAGTGTAGACTTAGACTTATAAAACAGATGAGAAATGTCATGTTCAATACATAAAGATATGCTTTATTTGGTAATAATAGAATAACTGTATATTTCTATACAGCAGATTTTGAAGTCCATATTTTTGTCTCAAACAAATCCAATAACTGATTTGTTTCTAAACTATTTTTAGAGAGTGTGTGAACTTCCAAAGCAACGCCATAAATATTTAATGTTACCAAGGTCACCGATTATGCAGTATGTCAAATAGTCAAATATATTAATCTCCATCTAGCTTTTAATTAATTGGTTTGCTTTTTACAGCTGACTGTATGAGAACTTTAGGGTGATTTGGCTGTTACAATTTGTTTTACATTTCTATGAGTATGTTTTCACTGCTCCTTTATCTGGGCTCTGCTTTTGGTATTGTTCCCACTTACACATACAGACTTCTTTCTGGGTTGTGGTGGTGTTTTTTTTAAACTCCTGCTTATTCTTCTTAATCTAGGGCAACTGTTGTGTTTAGGAATGTGGGTTATAGCATAGATTCTCACATCAGTTGTATTCTTGTCCTCTGGCAGACAGGTGTATGTCAAAGCTCTTGTGTTTATAGCCCTGTCATCAGTCAAGGCTGGACGATGTATTCTGCAACTGTAAGGCAGCTTAGCTTATTTCACCATTATAGTTGTAGGATATGCCCTCAGAGTCCTGCTGATGGGAGTGAGGGAGTAAAGTGGAGGTTCAGTAATGCGGGTATGACTTTACAGTGTGTCACAAACATGAATGTAGACCAGTTCATCAGTGAAAAGATTCCTCCTTAAATGTTACTTGATTAATAAACCTGTCACTGGGTAAAATTACATAGCTATTCTCTTAACTTGGAAAGAAAAGGTTCCAGAATTTTGGGGACAGTTTCCCAGTCAATAAAGGATTGTTTCATTTAGCTGCTCTTGTTTCTTCTGGTTCTGATTTTCACTGAGCCTTAATTGTTCTCTCTAAACTTCCTTTCATTTTTCAGTTTGTGGAAATTAGGGGTACGCAGTGCTGCATTAGCTCTTTTAATTGTGACCGACTTGTGATGGCAGAATGTATGGCTTTTGTATGTGGAGCCCAGTGTTGTAATTACCTCTTAGCTGCCCTTGCAGCTGCAAACTTGCAATAATTCTAATCTCTAGATAGTACTCAGCATCACTGGTTTCCAGATTTTCTTTCACTCTATAGCTATAAATTACGTTGAGGATTTGTTTTGGTTTTCTTGTGGTGTTTTTTTCCAGCAGCCAGTCTCATTTTGATAGACTCTCTTCCTTTCAACTCATTAGAACCTTTTAGGTTATATTTCTGACCTTAATGGTATATGGATAGACACCTTTTGCCTAATAGAATTTTTAATTCATCTGCTGTTTATTCCTTCTTCTATACTAATTACTGATTTCTTCATCTCTTGGTGTCGTGCTGATCTTATTATGTTGTTGATTATTAACTTTAGTTTTTGATTCTTCAGACATTTTTTTAAATTCAAGCATAGTTTGTGCTTAGGTACGTTTGAATTTTGAAGTAGATTGTGAGAGGCATCATATACGTGCTTCACTAAAATCGAAACAAGTTGCTGCATTTAGAAGACAGACAAATCGGAGAACCCTCGAGGTCTTTTTGTAAAGAAAATAAAGGTTGCAAAGAAGCAAGAATTAGCAGAGAAAGAGGAGTGTAGGAGTCAGTAGGGTACATGGAACTGAACTTCGCCCCTTATTGTAACCTCTTTTTTTTATATGGATGGAGTATAATAGCAGGGAATATTACAGTAACTAGGTAGCCACTTTTCAGATACTACTAGGCTGTCTTTTCTGCTGGAGTCAAAACACTGTTTTCCCATAATTTGCTCACTGCACAGTATTTCTTACTTCAGACTTTTTCTGGGGGCATTGTGTTTTTTGACTTGCCACAGTGCTGCCCAAAGGTGATGTAAAAAGAACAAAATATACATCTTGGTTTTCACACAAAATTTGAGATCAGATTCTTTCCTTGGTATATGCAAAAAAAGGAAAAGGACATAGTTACAAAAATACTGAAATGTGAGAGTTGATTTATCAAGTATTCCTTTTCAAGTAGCTTTCCTTAACCAATTAATTAGGTGCTCTAGAATTTGATTTCTGTCTTCTAGAGGTTTTTTTCATAGTGATCACTGGAGATGATACGTCTATGATATGTATTGCTCAAAACTCTAACAAGATGAGCTAAGATAATACTGGAGGAGTGAGCTTTGAACCATACCTTTATGATAAATTTAATGTAAATGCTTGTGCGCCTACTTGAAGTTTTATAATCCTTGCAAATGTATCTAATGGCTGTCCTCAGCTACAGGTTTTACTGTAGATCATGTACTACCTTAATCCTTCCTTGTGACTTGTAAAAGAAAATTAACTCTAGTTTTAGTCTTGTTTGACTCGGCTCCCCATAATTACTTACAAAAGCAAATGAGAGGCAGTTCTCCTCCCCATCAGTCTGTGTGCAAAACTTTCAGGAACAATAATATGCATGCAGTCTACTCCAGCTGAAAAATCAGTTGGCCAGAAAGTTATGTATGAGTGTTGTGGGTGTCCATGATAACGGTTTTGGCAGAGCTGTGCCAAAGGAAGTTCCTTCAAGAAGAGGAGGTAGAGGTTTCTTGTAATGAGAGAGGAGGATGCAGTGGGGTTTGGAAGGCAGAAAGAGTGAGCATACTTCATCCCTGATTATTGAGGGCAAAAACTAATGGGAGAAGTATAAGCAAGGCTGATTTGGAGTGAATGCAAAAGTCTTAAATATAATGTTAAATGGAACCAATTACAGGATTAGAAGAAAATTAGTGAGAGAGAATGACTGCATACCTATCATATCTCCTGCCTTTCTTATTAGCACCCATCACCAGATGTTTGTAGCCAAGTCTAGCATTTGGCAACAGAACTAGCTTCCAGTTGTTACATTTCCTTAGTTGTAGTTACACCACTTAGTAATAACTAAAATGAGTAATTTAACTAGTCCTACTGCCTATATGCACTTGATAAATTTGCCATATAGATGTTGTTCTATCATAATTGGGAGGAGAAGTGGTGTGCCATAAAATATTTTTGTATAGAGGTTGGTCATGTAGTGAAAGTGTTCAGGAAATCTTTTTGTAATGGATGATAAGTCAGAAGATGCATATCTGTTTTTATGAGTCTGCTAAAACAAATGTGCTGTATTTGTTCTTACGAGTAGCGAATTGTGATTGCAGAAAATTGTGCTGAAATAAATGTAGATATCATTTGTGTTCTGAGGTATGTGTTTTGTTTCAGATAAAGGACATTCTCTCAAAAGTTCAAAACCGCGTGGGGAAATCGCTGCTAACAAAACCTCTGAATTCTGACCAAGTGGTAAAAAAAGTCTCTCCATTTCTTTTCTGTATTTAACAGGATGGTCAAAATCAATGCGTATGGCTTCATCTAACTTTGTCTTTTTTACAGTCCCTGTTCTATTGCTAAATATTAACACTAAAATTCAATTGTTAAATATTAACAATGCTAATCAGATACTTCCAGAATTAATGTTATAAAACAGACTTTGTGTTGATTCGTCCACTTATTAACTTTCCAAGTACTTTGTATATACATACTACTGTAGGCACTACACAGATGCACCCCTAATTTTATGTAGTTTATAGTGGTCACCTGGGGATAGAGAGTTGCTGAATGGGGTTTAACTTTAAGGTGACTTCTATAACTTCATGGATTTGAATGTTTGGATTTTTATTGTAACACTGCAGGAAAGATTGGAAAAAATCAATGATGCTCTTCGCAGCGAGTACGAATGTCGCCGACGTATGTTAATGAAGAGGCTAGATGTGACAGTACAGTCTTTTGGCTGGTCTGATAGAGCAAAGGTAAACTTGCTGTATTTTTTGTTTCCTGTAGGTGGGAGTCTGCTACAATTCCCCAGGTCTTCCTACTGAATATACACACATACCATGTAAATACACTTCCATTACTGTTGTCTTCTTTCCAACCAGTTTCTCATCCCGGGTTGTAACATCCAAGTCCTAGATATTGAAGAAGGGGAAGGATTTGACCAGATGGCACAGTCCATCCTTTGTGACTGTTTATAGCTTCACAATTATAAATTCTAGCATCCTCTGTTGGGGTTTCTCACTTTCGTAAGTTCACATCTCTCCTTTTTCTTTCCTATATCCACCCCACTCCAACAAGTAAACTAGGAAGGGAACCTCAGCATTTCTTATGTAGATGCAAGAGGAAGACAAACTCTGGGCCTTAACGTAGATTGGGTGCAAAGAGTGACTGCCCATAAAATCAGTGAGATTACAGTGACTGCTACTTCTCTTGGATTCAAAGCTACTGAATAAACACATAGTCAGTTGAACACGTTATTTGAATAGCAGCTTGTATGAGAAAAGCACACAGCTACTTGTAATCCTTCAGGTGGCTAAAAATTCCAAATCACTCCTCTGGATTTTCTCTGCTGGTATCACTTTAATTGTGATTATTTCATTTGTACTATTTCGTAGCACTCTGTGTATTAAGAAATAGTCGTGATTTAACCAGTCTGATATTTCTGAGCTAGAAATATATATTGTTTCTATCCAAGAGAGTAGGGAGATAAGATACTAAAAGTTTGTAATTTGATGAATATACATGTGGGAAGCTGGAGGCAGATGTTTTAGCTCATGAGCTGCAAGATCAACTTTCCTTCCAAAGGTTTGTGTAGAAAGCTAAAAATAGATAAGTCTTAAAACTTTGAAAGCTTACTGAAAGTATGGATTGTTACGAGTCTTTCTGGTGTCACAATTTGTTGTTGATACATGCAGACAGAATCGGTTTCATGAAGCTCACTAAGTATCACTGGAAGACATGAGTCTAGATGCTGCTGTGCTGCTTTGGAATGGCTCACTATTTAATTTCTGCAGGGGTTGTGAGTGCTTTTATGCTGCAAGAAAGGAAAAGGAGGGCATTTAGCTCACAGAAGCCAGGAGATGTCCCTACTTGTATAGCTGTACCAATACAACTATATATTTTCAAATTTAAAGTATACTTCTAAAATGTAGTTGATGTTAACTGATGACTAACTTAGGCTAAAATTTTAAGTCACTTGATACCGTTCCATTCAAACAACATGAAAAACAATGAATACATTTTCACAATAGAACAATAGTTTAAAGAGATTTTTAATGATGATAAAGTAGTAAGATGATTCGTTTTCCTGTCTTATAAAGACTGTTGATGTGAAATAGTATGCAGTTACAGAAATAACGAGGTTGCATATTAATTCAAAATTACATATGATTTTTAATCTTTTTTTCCTTATTTCTCATGTAAAAATATTTGTTTATAACTTCTCCAAGAAGGTTTGGGGAATTGAAAATGTTTTGTCACTGATATAATTTAGATACTATTTTTTTAAGCCAAGAGGCAAATTGTCCTTTTTTTAATTTGTTAGCTTGCCTTTTTTTCCCACCATTAAATACGTATTGATACCTTTCTCTGCTTTTGATGGTGTGGCATTTTGTGATATTTTTTTTTTTTAACTTGTTCACTCCCCAAGAGGGGTAAGTTTGCAGACTGAAGTGGATTCATAAATGGCGTAGTAATTGCCTAGCAAAACAGTCATGTAAAGGAACAGCACCTGTTGTCTGGTCCATCCAAGATAATTTTTTTTTTTAAACTCTGAAGATCATTCTAGATGTTGCCCAAAAGTGTATTTATTTTTCTTTTTGGTAACCAAATGAAACATCAAAGTGTGTTTGGAAAAAATCTTATTTTCTCCCCTTCTCAGTCTCAGTTTTTCATGGCTTGCACAAGTGTTTTGCTGCATTGATACATTTTATTTTTTTTTCCACAAGTTGACCTTACTTTGAAGCTGCTCTGTTTTCATCACATTTAAATGTGGCTATGTAAAGCCCTTGAGAGAGCAGTTTGGACTCTTAAATTTTAGTCTTTAGATATGTTGGAAAACATCAAAGAATCTGTTTGATGCCAGCGTATAGGCGAGTTTCTTTTGTAATGGTGCTAAGTTTCAATTAGCATCAATTAAACATAATCAGCAACATTTTCTGTACAATAGCTCCATCAATATGAAGAGAATAGCTAACAACTGGGACTATATTTTGTAAGATAACCTAGATTTTCAGGTTCAAATTGAAACTTACTGAGACAAAACATGGTTTATGGTAAGTGTGTTTGTGTGTTTTATGCCTAGCAAGTAAGCTGTGTTTGATTTTATCATTTAGGTAAAAACAGATGACATAGCACGAATATATCAGCCCAAGCGCTATGCATTATCTCCAAAGTCAACTATTACATTAGCTCACCTTCTTGCTGCTCGAGAAGATTTATCGAAGATTGTAAGAACAAGTAGTGGATCAACACGGGAAAATACAGTCTGTGCGATCAACAAGGTATACTTTTTCTTCCTGGGATGTGATAAAAGGACATGGGAGTTTACAGACCTATCAAAAGTAATTCTGGAATTATACTCTTCGCTTAATATTTTAATTTCTTTTTGCACGACACCTGGTGCTTTAAGAAAGGAAGGTTTGCAGCATTCCAGTAAACATTGCAGCAACTTTTTTCATCTTATTACACAGTTGTGCAACAGGATGAAACAGTAGTCTAGATGAGAAGGAACAGTGGTGGGGGGTGTATGTGTGCGCCCATGTGTGTAAATGACCTCTTGAGTTCAGTGGAACCGCACACCTCAAGTTAAGGATACATATAAGTCTTTCTGGTATCAGTTCCTGGGCTACCTGTTGCCAGGATTATGTCGTTCAGTTCATAAACCAGTGTCTTTAGTTTATCAGTATATTATAAATCACAAAAGTTTCTGTGGAAGGATCATTTTGCTGCAAAGTAAAATTATTTGGTTTGGCTACAGTAATAAATCAACATTGTACTGCTTTCTTGTGTGTGATAAAAGCTGAAGCTTGCGAGTAATGACATTAGTTTCACCATTCAAATGGTGACTAAACTTGTTCTTATTAACCCTTTTATTTACAGATTTTTCTAAAGTTTTGTGCCTCATTTATATACCCTTTATATGTTTTGATCCCAAAGAATCTGAAATTTCTTAATTATTGTAAGATCTCGGAGAAAGTTTGGGTTTTTTTCTTGAGAGGGCTTCAATTGGAGTGCCTGGGACTGACCAGAGTATGTTAACATTCGTCACACAGTTTAGGAAATATGAAAACAATGACAAAAAGACCTACTTGGCTACCTCTTTGTTCTTCAACTTCATATTTTGTGTAACTTTGTCCAGTACAGTCTCCCTTTTTGTATACTGAGTAATATCCGCCAAAGTCAAGATCCCTCTTTTTTTTTCTTTTCTTGAAAGTGTCACTGCAGCATGTTACATATTTTGTCCGTTCCAGCTCTCTACTGAGCGTCAGTAGTTTCTAACCTAAGGCAAACTGGCGTTCCTTTTAGAGTTGCACATCAGTTTGCCAGTTTATGGTTTTTGCCAGCTGATTAGGTTTGAACTTGAACTTTGACATTTAAGTAGAAGAGCCGCATCGTAAGGAGTCTTTTCTGTATGAATATATATTTATCTATTCATATATATTATATATGAATGATGTATGTTGCTTACTGTAATACTTCACATGCGTGTAGTTTTCTTCATAAAGATTTCACAAAAGTAATATGAGCTAGCTAGCTAGCTGCAGTTATTTCAATTTTACCGGTGGAAAATGGGATCACTTTCAGAGTTCTGTTGTGTTGTGGCAAGTTACAGGGACAGGAAATAGGGATTCTGCTGTCAAGCTCCACACCGAGGGGACCATATTTCCTGTAAAGAGCAGGCAGCATGCCTTTGTCCACAGGAGAGGAACCCTGTGTCCCTTCAAGTTGTTATTACTATTTTTTTTAAACTAAAAATGACCTATTTTTCCATATAGGTTCTGATGGGGAGAGTACCTGACCGTGGAGGCAGACCAACAGAGATTGAACCACCTCCTCCTGAAATGCCTCCTTGGCAAAAAAGACAAGAAGGTGGTGGAA